CAATACTCTAAAGGGTCTGGCCAAGAAGTTAATTTCAGTAAATCCAGATTCTACGTTGGGAGTAAGTTACCAGCTAATATCATAGCCAGAATGGAGAGAGCCCTAGGTATGGCACATGGCAAATTACCATTCCAATATCTTGGAGTTCCCATATGCAAGGGTAAGCTTAATAAAAGACATTGCCAAGAACTGCTAGTTCACTTTGACAAATACATCAGCAGCTGGTATTCTAAATTACTCAATCCTATGGGAAGACTTATCCTAATCAAACATGTCCTCTCCTCCATACCTTTACACTTCTTGGCAGTGCATACTTTGCCTATTTCTATTGTCAACCAAGTTCACAGAAGCATGGCAAACTTCCTCTGGGGCTATAACAATGGCTCCCCTAAACATCACTGGAAAAATTGGGACTCCTTATGTTGCCCCAAGGAGGAAGGAGGATTGGGTTTGAGGAATCTCAGAGATCTGCACAAAGCTTACTCCCTAAGGCTGTGGTGTAAAGCACATAATGATGACAGTATTTGGGCCAATTACATTAGAGACAAATACATGAGGAGGAACTCATTCCATGAAAAAATTGTGGATTCCCCAAATTGGAAAAGGATATGCAGAGTCACTCATCTAGCGGAGGAACATGCAGAACAAATTGGAGACCAAGTTTTATGGAAAGGGGGATAGTTTACACTCAAAAAGGGATACAATGCGTGTAGAAATGCAAGGAACTCACAATTAGGATACAAGCTAGCATGGCACAAGCTACAAATCCCCAAAATTAAAATTTTTCAATGGAAAATTATGCAGAACATTCTACCTTTCCCCGAGATTTTCAACCAGATTGGGTTTCACTTACCTTCGCAATGTCCACTCTGCAAAAAATGGGAAGCACAGATGGACCACACTCTACTTCATTGTGAATTCAGTGCTCCAGTTTGGGACTTCTTTTGCAACATCCTACAAGGCCCAAAACTCAGAGAAGGAATCACTCTAAGGCAACACATCTTCGAATGGTGTCTTCGTCCTAGCAATACAACAATTCGCAGCAATCTAAACGTGGTCATACCTGGTATTATTGCTTGGAGTCTATGGAAGANAGAGATGAAGAATTATCTACCCTAGGTTATCAATCAGTCTCTCTCAATGGAAAAACACTACAGATTTTCTACAGGGGACAAACAGGGTTTGAGGATGAAGATTAGAGTGAGAGGACTTTAGTTTTGACCTTCTACTCTTTATTTTCTGAAGTGTATTAAGTGTATGTTTGTTATCTACCTTCGGGGCCTCGGCCTAATCCTCCCCGAACGTGTACTTTACTTCTCACTTATTAATAGTTATATATATATATATATATATATATATATATATATATATGTATATATGTATGTATGTATGTATGTATATATATATGATCGAATCTAGTCAGATGATGCCTTATGGTAAGTTGACATGTTTCACTCAGATGACGTAAGGGAGAAAAACCAAAATAGCACTCTTAGGTTCATAGATCATTTTGGTATCATTAATTCATAGTTTTAACAACAATTTTATGGTTTATGATTCTTGGTTCTTCAAGAATGTCAAACACAATACTCAACCAAATGTCCGTTTATGAACGTAGAAACGATCTATACAAACATTCTTGTCACTAGATATATCTACGGGCTTACCTTGAAGCTTATTGAAGGTTTTGGAAATTTTCCGGTGAAACTTCCGGCGATGATTTCTCCCAACTCCGGCGACTTCGGCGACCATCAACTACTGCAGCATGTTCTCCTCACTCTCAGGAACATATTGCTACTAAACTTATAAGTTTTGGTGAAGAATGAGAAGGTTGATGGTGGTTTATATAGGAGAGGAAATGAAGAAGAAGCCAAGGTGATGTCTACATTCTTGTTTAGGCGTCTCAGTGGAGCGGGCTGCGATTCCTACGGATTTCAAATGCAAATCCCTGATTGGGACTAATTTCAGTCCCAGTCGGGGTATACTTTTTGGTCCAACTTTCTCCGAATTGAATTCCGTTTACACCATTGCGATCAGACAGTCGAACTCTATCCAACGATATAATTTTTATATTTATTTGGTATACTTTTTTCGACATCATATTTTTGGGTGTTTGACTTTGAAAGAGTCAAAATTGATTTAATTGACCTTTATCATAAAAGGTTCTCACATTTATTTTATTCTCATGGTTTATTTCAAGAATTGATTTCAAAGTTCATTTAATAAATAAATTCTCCATTTATTCTTAATTTGGGTTTGTACTCAAGTTCCCATTCAAGATCACACCAAAAGTCAACATGTTGCATTTATCTCTATGAGACTTATCCCAATTATGTTTATTGGATATCAATACATATTTTATTTAGCCCCAAAGTCCAACAATTTATTTTAATCAAAACAAATTTGGTTAATTTGAATAATTACCCATTAATAATTCTAGGGTATGCTTCGGGGTGTTACATTCCTTCCAGTAAGAATAGTTTCTTCCATCGAACAATGGGGGCCTCGTGGTTTATTGTCCCTCGTTAACTCCTGATTTGAACATTCTAGAAGTCATTTGATCTTTGAGTTCTTAAACAATAAGATGTATTCGAAGAACTTCTTGCTCCGATACCAATTGTTAGACAAAACTTGAAACTCTAGAGAGGGGGGTGAATAGAGTTTTTTTTCTAGAATGAGTGTTTTTTGCGTGTGTGTATAAACAAAATAAAAGTTGCAGGAACAATGAAAAGAGTAAGGGAAAGAAGAACACCGCGATAGATACTTGCTCACCACCTTGTGGCTAGTCTAGTCCTCCGAGAGACTCTCTCAAAGGTCCTACTATACTTCAAGCTTCAACGGGTGCTTGAAAAACCAGTTACAACTCAAGAGCTTGAGTCACACAAGTCTCAACTTCTTACAACAAGAATTTAATCACACAAGTCTTAACTTCTCACAACAAGACTTAAATCACAAAAGTCTTAGCAACAACCAAACTCAAACTGCATTGGGTTTTACAACACAAGAATGGTAGCTCACACAATTGAGCAAGTAGTGTTTAAATGAAAGCTCTATGGATGACAATATCTTTTGCACTCAACAAAAATATTTCTAACTCTCAAAATAATCTTTTCAGGTTTTTAAATAGAAATTTGAATTTTATAGTTATACCTAATGTGAGATTATACGATCCTGTGCGAAACATGGGATAGAAAACTAGTTATACATTTGGAATAGGGAAATTTTTATCTATTTCCTTAACAAGGAAAATAAAATAATTGAGTTAATAACGTTGTTCTGGTTTTGCTCTTGAGGGACCAGGTTTAAAAAAATGTTGGAAAATTTAAATTATTTAATTAGAAGAGAGAAATTTTGTGAATTTCTTTAAAAAGAAAATAAAATAATTGAGTTAATAACATGGTTTTAGTTTTGCATTGAGGAAAACTATTAGAGTTGGCACTTGCCTTTACTTAAGGATATGTTTATTTAAAATTGCTTCCATTGAGAGTTGAACTCAAGACCTCCCGTTTACAAGACGGGTGCTCTAACCAACTGAGCTATGAAAGCATTTGCTTTCCCATCTCTCTAGCTACATTTTGAATTAATTAAAACAATTTTACATTTAGAGTAAATTTCCAAAGTGGTACTCAATAACTATGTATTTTCCCAAGTTAGTCACCAAAATTAAGTAATTCCATAGATGGAACTTGTTAATTGAAAATAATGATTAGTTCAGTCCCCTGACTAACAACCGTTAAAACAGTGTTTAACATCGTTTTAAACATTATATTACATTCCTAAAATGGTTCATTCTAACTTGGTATTTTCTTAAATTGGTCCATTTTTTAAATAAAAATAAATTAGTTATAGAAAAATATTTTAAATTCTCTAAGATGACAATATAATATATAAAACTCTAAATACAATTTTATAAATTTAAAAGTAAATGTTTTTTATTATTTAAAATTATTTTGAAAGATAGCATGTAAATAAAATGTTTAATAATTGTTACAGAAATCACCCTAAATAGGAGCAAAACATAAAGTTATAAGGAGAGTTGAAAAAGGTGAAAGTTTACCAAAATACCCTTAGTGAAAATGGGTGGGGTGCATTAAATAAGGTGGGTGAGGTGTAATAAATAAAGTAAGTGGGGGTAGTTGTAGTAATTTAAATGTTAAAAAAGGTAATGAGAAGATCTATGTGGGACAAATAAAAAGGGTTAATGGGAAGATCTATGGGGGACGGAGGGAGTATTTTGTTTACATGATAATATTTTAAATAATTGTGAATAATTAAACACGTTACATTCAAATTTATAATGTTATATATATAGTTTTTAGTATTATATTGTCATCCTATAAATTTTAAAATATTTTTTCATAATTAATGTATTTTTATTTCAAAAATGAACCAATTTGAGAAAACACCCAGTTAGAAACCACCAAATAGGGGAGCGCCCCGGGTGTCCACACAACCCAAACTTTATCTTAGCAAATGCAAAGCAGCAAGATGAAGGGAGGAGGAATAAGTTGTGGCGGTAGCGGTCTAGTAGCCGCTGTGGAAACCACCCAATGAAGGGAAACTAAATTGCAATGTTGGAACAAGATTTAGTTTGACTTCAAAGTAGGCACTAGTAGGTATCATTTTTCAGAATGCACAAGGCTATTTCATTTGCGGGTCTTCTCAAGGACTTTGAAGGATGGTGAGTGCCTTAATGGCTAAGGGGATGTGAGTCATATAGAAATACTAGTAACACGTTATAAATATACACATGTAGTATTCTTTTAGCGGATCAATATAGTTACATACCCCAAATATGTACTGCGGTATAGATTAGGTTATCTTCATATCTAGAGCATATTAGTGTTGAATATCAGTGAGCCCTAGAAGCCAACTTATGATTCCATATCTATGATATCAAAAATAAAAGGCCTTAAAGATTGTTTAAATGGTCTCGTGTGATTTAAACATAACTTTTGTGCATAGAGTAGGCCTTATAGTAACATAGATACGAACTACGATGTTTTGATTATGAGACTGTTAAAAAGATAGAGGCTACACCTAAAATATCCGTAGTCGAATATTATGATAATAAGGACATCATAATATATTAAGACTAATACGCATGAGATGAGATAACTGCATTTCATAGGCTATAGATAAAATGTTATATGAATCTATGTGTAGGCAAACATATTGGATATGTTTCTAGATTGACCCGCTATGAAAATAATATATGGGTTTAAGTTAAAGTGTTAATATTATTCTCATGCGACCAATAGTTTAACTATCCTTCGACTTGAAGTCATTATGATCTCTGATAAGTTGAGTTGATTATTTTTCAGCGTGATTTATGCCACCTGAAATATTGGTGGATGTAAAATTATGTTTTGGGCATGCAATGAAACTTAAGTAGAGATGTGAATGACGTTGATAGAATTTATCCCTTCCTTTGTGAAGTATAATGTCTGAGGGCCCACTCATTAATGTGACTTAGGAAGTGCATGGCCATGCCCAAATAAATATGTTATTTGAATCCCACAAGTTAATCAAAGAATTACTAAACCATCGATTTAACTCTAACAACGTGACACACCTCATACCTTGCGTTAAATCTAAAATTTCCACAAGCACATTGTTGTAACTAACCATTTAAAATACAAATAACGTGATTGAGATATTGTCGAAAATTGTGTTGTAGCTCATGTGTATGAAGCACAGAATGCTACAACACCTTTTCTAACACCAGCACAAACACACAAGGAAAACATGAAAAGACACAGAGATTTGTTTACGCAGTTCGGAGCTGAATCTCCTACGTCTGTGAGGCTCACATCCATGTAATAGCCTTTTCACTAAATCTTCTAATGAATTGACTTGTCTACTTACGTGATCTGACAAAAAACTCGGTTTGTGTCACTCCTAGGGCTATTACACCTTCTTCTTGCTCTGCATGAAGGATGTGACTATGACCTTTGCTCAGCCAATCAATTTTCAATAGCTGAACAAATTTAGAGAAGATCCATGGGTGATCTTTTCATACAGATCTCACATATGCATAGTCTGATAGGTTCTCTTCCACACTCTCTCTTATGATGTACGAATATTAGAACGAGTGTCTCTCACCTCAATCGTCTTCCATATGTGTCTATATATATACCATACGCAGAATCCTAGTGGAACCCAACTAGGAGTCCTTGATGATTAGCACGTTTAATGAGTTTGAGTATCAGAGGATTCTTCAGTGCTTGGACTGCTTCCGCAAGGTTAGCAAGACATTCATGTACGTCACGTAGCCAGAGAATACCCAAGTGATAGGAGTCCTTCCCTCATAATGACACTTCAATAATCACCAGCCGTGTTTTCCTTGACAAGGATGACTGACAAGATGCTACGACTCAGACACAAGACGTACATGCTAAGAATTCTACATAATAGGTTTTGTCAAAAAATTATGTCAACATAAATTATATTAACACGAACTCTTGGGAACTAACAATCTCCCCCTTTGGCAATTTTTTGAGAACCTCTTCTCCCCATTTTTTGCATAAAAATGCCAAAGATATTTGGAAAATAATATATTGGGGCAAAAAGAGAAGAGTAATATTCAATACGGTCAAGAATAGGTATATACAGAGGAAGAAACAAGAAGTGAGTTGTACCTACATCAGTCATCAAAAGACTTTCCAGGCTTGTTTATAAATAAAATGGATAGGATGTAGCACCCACACTTTAGCATAAGGGAAACAGGGATGAAACAAGGTCATCAAGAAGCATATGGAACCAGGAAATCATCAGTAGCAAAAAAAAAACAGAGTCGTTAAAAGGGCATAGCAGATGTCAACAGAATTCAGCAAAACATAGTCAACCATTCCTACTTTGGCGAAACACAACCCAGGGCAGAACAACCCTTTAAAATTGAATAAAGTTTGATAACCACTTCCCACCAAAACAAGAGGGAAATTTATTCTTCATCAGTGAATTCCTTAGATTCCAGAGTTCCTTCAGTAGTTGCTGCGTATTCCTCTTCATCTGTCTCCTGATAGCTATCGGCTGTGTCTGATTGCTCAGTTTCTTCTTCATTTAGTTGCTCCCCTGTATTCTTTAAACTTTGTCTTGGCGTAGCATGTTTTCCACATGGATTAGAATGTCCCTTCTCTCAGCTGCGTTCTGTGCAATCTAATTATGATAAGCAATATCCTGCTGTAGAGCCTTAATTTCCTTTTCCACAAAGTGAAGCAGATAATCCACAGAAGGTGGATCTTGTGAGGTAGTTTTTGCTGTTCCACCAACAGCCATGTCATTGAAGTAACTCCCTTCAAGGTGCCTTCCATCCATTTGCAACAATGGTGGTATGAGTTTTTCCTCTTCAGCATCCTCTTTCCACTACAAAACCTGCATTTTGCAGCACTTATTTTACCGCACATGACCAAGTGTGGCAAAAAGGTAATGTTTATTTCACTTTTTCGCACATAGGAGTGTTGCTATAAAAAACAAATTCAATAAAAATAATCCAATAACCCAATATACTACCAAAAAATAAATATTTTATCCCATTTCATTAATACCCTGTAATCTGATCCGTAACTGAGATTTTAGACGGAGGCCACCACATCACTCTCTCAAATTAAACTCAAGCATCAAATTCACACATCCCTAAATTTAAAATTGCAAATCGCAGATCAGATCGATACTTCATCGATTGGACACACAGGCCACAACGAAAATGTAGGGCAGTCGCGCTAAGAGACGTCGCCGGGGATAGGGTTTCGACCCTAGCCCCCAACACTATTGACGATGGCCTGATCAGCGACGAGGCAGGGAGCAACGACAGTATGGAGTGGCGACCGACAATTTAGTGGCGATTGTTGTGCCAATCTAAGAAACAAATCCAGCACCTATGGTATGGTTATTTGTGGGTATAAACTCTAAATTGAAATTGTTCTCCATTTGCTCATTTGATTCTTCTTAGTTTCTGTTCAATTTCATCTTTATTGTTCAATTTTAGTTCATTGTGTATGTTTTAGGATTTTAGACAGATTCAAAGTCAAAATTGATAAATATATGTTATGGTTAAAATTTAAGCAAAATTTTATGATTTTGTATTTAATTGAGAACTTTTAAGGTTAGTTCTCAATACTTGCCAAAGATTGGTAATTTATACTCTGTTTAAGTTTGTTCAATCTGGAAATTGGATTTCTAGTTCTTGAGTTTTGTAGTATTGTTCCTACAAACTTTGTAATTTAATTACTGCAAGAGTGTTGAGTCTATTATTATTGGTTACTACTCACTATTAACAAATGTTTTTGAGTTTGAAAACTGTGGAAAGATAGGTGCATTGGGAGTTAACATTTCATATATATTTTTTAATGTGGTCTTTAGAGGTAGTTGTTCAAATTTTGGTAGCCAGGAACTCTGACACATTGAACTAGGATCACTTTGTTTCTTAAAAAAAATTATAATGGTGAAACTACTTTGAGAAATTGAGAATTTGGAATATACACAGGTGATGAAAATGAAGATTTGAGCTTGAAGAACAAATACATTTATACCTTATAATTGCAGGATTTGTTGTCTATACTTCATAGGTTGGTAAGTGGCTTTCATTTGCATTCTTTTTAATGAAAGGTGAAATAAAACTTTCTTTTTATTTTGATAAAAAAATAGTACTCCGTGAAATTTTACTTTTGGTGATAATAGGTTGTATGTTGTGTTTACCAAAGCCTCAAATCATTCATTTTTGTATGAGATCAGAAGACTGTGCATCTGTAACTCCTATGGGAACAACAGCTCAACAATCCCCAATATTGGAAACTACCATATTGTGTTTCCTAATCGAAGGTGATATCATATATATATATATATATATATATATATATATATATATATATATATATGATCTCCAACCTTTCAATAATTTTCTTTCTTGTGAGACAGGTGCAAATAGAGATGATGAGGGTTAGTAAAAATGAATTTTTTTTGAGCAAGGCTTAACACCACATGTTTTCTAGCAATTGTTTACAAGAATTGAACACATAATTTTTTTTGTAACTTTCAACTTGTGATATGTTATTCAATTTGGAATAAGGAGATTTAATGTTGTTCTTCAGGAGCAAATTAAGCATGCTGACAAAGAACACAATTACCAGTGTTGTCGCTACTCTTTTTTGAGGTAGGTGTCCTATAATTATTTTTCATGTAAAGAATAATTGCAGTGTTAATCATTTCGTTGTATGTAAAATTTTAGATTTACAATGAACAAATCACCAATTTGTTGGACCCAAACCCAAGAAACCTATAGGTAATCCTAAAAAAAGATCCCCATCACACTTGATTTTTATTCTGCGTTAGTACCTCTTAAACAGTGCCTCACTTTTTAGATGCGAGAAGATGTCAAAACTGGTATTTATGTTGAAAATCTGACGGAGGAATGCGTTTCTACTACGAAGGATGTGAAACATTTTTTAAAGGTCTACGTAATTACTTTTTCATGTTTTGTTTTCTCATGAGCATGAATCTAGTCATTGGATGTGTTAGATGATTGACAAATATCCTGATGCTAATGTACCAATTTTAAGATCTTTAACCCATCCATACTCATGTTTTTATTTCTTGATGCACTTTATTGGTGTATTGTAGTTGACACAATCCACTCCCATCACGATGCCATGTCTTTGAAAAATTTAGCACGTTTATAATGTAATGAATAGGTTTCTATCGCATATGTGTGGTGTTTTTTCCTAAGGTGATGATATTCTAAAAAAAAATGATATGTTGTTGTTTACTTAGAGGGAGTGGTGTACAGTGGAATTTTTTTTAGAACTTCCAAGTGTCTACCAAGGCTGACAACACCAAAAAGATCAATAAGAGGAAGTTTTTGAAGTGATTGTGTCAAGCTAGCTTTGTTATTGCTATGAGCGGTCGTATTATATAACTCTACCCTTTATTTTTATTGATCAAGGAGTGTTGGCTCTGTTGTTAAGGTTGATGGTGCACCTTTAATGTAGCTGCAAGTTTGGAGGATAAAACTCTAGGTCTAGGGGTTGATGATGTCGCGGGTTTGTGATGCTGCTGTTTAATGCAGTAGATTTGGCATAAGTTGCATATATGGATAGTGCTGAGTTTGAGGCCCACTGATGGTGGTCTTTGATGTGGCTAAACAGCATTGGGTGATGCCGAAAGAGGTTAGTCTGTTCTATTCACACTGCAAATTTAGCTTTCTAATTTGATGCTTACTATCTTTGGCAGTTTTGTTTTTCTGACTGCTCTGAGTAAAATATTGAGTGGATACAAGCTGAACGAATGTAATAGAAGGGCTAAGCTAGCCAGAGTTTCATAGCCTTAATTATGGGACAAGCTGGTTGACTGTTGGTTGCAGATGTGCTTGTAGGATAATCTGAGAAGAGTGCCTAGTATGAGTACTTAAGATCGAGTGTCTTGGGATCAAAATCAAGGATGCTGTTACTTTTGGGAGCTATAAAAGTCACCAGAGGGTTTTTGCATGTTTGATTTTCATCCAATTATTGGGATTGGCACTTGGTGATGGTAATTCCATGTTCCAGCAAAAATGTGCTATTGTGTATTTGTTCCTAGGGGGAGGTCCTTGTGGAAGAATGTCTCAAAATCTAGGTGTAATTTAGGATTCGTTCTTTGTTGTAAAAGCCTTTGCTTTTGGGTTTCATCTTTGGGACAGAATGATGTTGCCGTATGGTAGTATAAAGTAGGCTTTGTATTGGTCTTGAAGTATAATGTTTAGTGTTGTGGATTTTTGAATTTCCCGTAGCTAGCCATCTTAATGAACCTTTTCTCTTCATTCAATTCAAGTTTCTTTAATAAAATATAAATATATACTCCTTCCGTCCCTAAATAAACTTCCTCTTTCGTTTTTTTTTGTCCCCAAATAAACTTCTCTTTTCCCTTAAAAAACCCCTTTTACCCCTTACTTTTTCATACCCTACCTATCCCATCATACCTTACTAATAATCTACATATCATATCTTACTTTTACACATCACATCAAGGGTATTTTTGGAAAGTCAACACAAAAATCTATCTCCTTTAAATCCTCAAAAAGTCAAAAAGGAAAGTTTATTTAGGGACGGAGGGAGTATTATATAACGTAACATATTTTTGGATATATATATATATATATATATATATATATATATATATATATATATATATATATATATATATATATATATATTTGGAATCTCTTCTCCCTCCACTGGTTCCACCATCTTCCCCGGAGCGTTTTGCAATCAGCATCGCGTCTAATCTGGTAATCATCATTGAAATACTGTGATCGCCGCCCAACGGGAAAGCTCCCCCTTCTCTCTAACCATGGAAAGATGGACACTGAAGGGGATGCCTGCCCAAAAAGAGCAAGGAGGTCCAGTTGTGCCAATCCATAACAAAAGTGCCTATTCCCTCATTGTTTTGGAGAAAAGTAGCTCCCCTGCCATTCTTGTCTCTGTCCAACTTGTGTTGATACAAATACATCCAAATAAAATAAGCAATAAGCAGTGAAGAAGAGACAACTTCTGCAAAAACCAGGTAGGCCAGGATACTAACTGCCACCAATGCTATGCCAATAGTCCATCGCTGTGACTGAAAAATCAGTGCTTCTTCAGAGCCAAGCAGATCAGCGCAACTGGGACTAATGCACTGTCAATATGTTTTAACTTCAAGTTACAGAACATCAATTTAAAGCAAGATCTGGCAGCCAAAGTGGTTCTGGTATCTTCAAGTTACTGAACAAAGTTTTTGGGATGCTCCATACTTTCAAAGGGCACCCATGATTAGGCAATCAAGATATTCAAAAGAACGACACATAACAAAGGAGTGCAGCAAATATGAAAGCCAACTAATTAAAATATAACCTAAAAAGAATCATCAAAAAAAACTTGAAGGAATCATTGCATAGTCTTCTTCTTCTTCTTTTGAGCTTTTGTACGCTGCCTCCCTTTCTTTTTTGTTTTAGGGGCTTGAAGAGAAAAGTCTAACTGTTTTTGACCTTTAATCGGTAGGCAGATATTATCTAGAGCACCTTCAAATTCACAAGCAAAATTATCATCAAATTCCGATACATACCTGCCCGAAGGGAGAATGCTATTACACGAGGCAAGAACCTTGGATTTACTACGTGTAACAATCTACGAAGGAGAGAAGAGTTTCCTTCGTTTAAAGACTTTTGGTAAATCCATAGAGATTTTCGAGCATCTAGAAATATCGATTGCTAAAGGCCTTAATTTTGACACAAAGAAAGGGGCATCTTCAACATCCGAATGATTGTACCAAATGGGTTCGTCACTTGGGGACATTCTCTCTTCAAGAGCATTAAAATGAAGAACCAAACATTTCTCATTGATGTGTTTGAAAGGATCTTCCTCCATAGTCAAAACGTTTTCTTCTGCTCCAAGATGTGAAAGAGTGCTAAAAGAGTTGGATTGGGGGATAAATTCCTTTGCAAAGGGGGAAAGGAGCTTATGGACTTGACCATCCCTACCTGCTACATCCTCCATTCCCTTCAAGGAATCAATATAACCACCCTCGGTCACCATGGAGCAGCAAGAAATGTCAAAGTTCCCTAGACTCTCAACAGATTCTGGCGTTCTGAATTCCACTGTGTCAATTCCTTCAACTAATTGGGTCTCTTCCAGAACAATGTCCTTTTCTCCTTGGGAGACATTGCTGCACAAACTAGTTCCAGGAGAAAGATTTCCACAGATACTATCTCCCTCATTTTCTGCAACCTGCCCGACTGATCCATAGAGGGAGTCCTCTGCAAACTCTGGACTTACGGCGCCTAAAGGTGCGGGATGGGGAGGGCTATGTGAGAGGTGTTCTAAAGATTCCAAGATAGGGAATAGAGAAGGAACTGGACCTTGAAGGGCAGTATATGCAGTCTTATCTGGTGGCCTAGAAACTTCAATATATACATACATACATACATACATACATACATACATACATATATATATATATATATATATATATATATATATATATATATATATATATATATATATTACCTCAACCGTAAGAGTAACTAACTCTCTCGAAGGAGAAGCAGAAGCAAGTTGGGCGACCCAATTTACCAATGGGCCTATTCATCTAAGAATGGACTCCCAATTGACGGTCAAAGAAGCAAGAAATCTCCAAAGAGCAGGATTATTCTCAACTCTCAAAACGCTACTTGAAGCCCATAATGTTTCAATCAAACATGTTTATTGGGAAGAGAATGAAGCGGCCCACAATCTGTGACATTTCTTGTACCAACTTCCGAATTATTTAATAAAAATTCTGCTGGTCACTTATTCTAACAATATATATATATATATATATATATATATATATATATATATATATTGTTAGAATAAGTGACCAACGCTAGAGGGGGGGTGAATAGCGTTTGATCGTAGAAATCGCAGGAATAAAAAATTAAGAACGTGAAAGATAAAGAGCGTAGAAAGCGTAAAGGGAGCACACCAAGATTTACCCTGGTTCACCACAACTTGTGGCTAATCCAGCCTCCCGAGAGACTCTCTCGAGCTACACTACTTCCGTTAAGCTTACGGGTGCTTAACAAACCGTTACAACTTGAGAACTCGAGTCCCACAAGCCTCAACAACACTTGCTCGGAGATACCGCACTCCAAGACTTCAACCCGAAGGAAAATAGCTTTCCTTCGTACAACCAAGGGAAACAAGCTTCCCT